GCCACATTCATTTTCCCATATTAACAAAAGACCCTACACGTAAATATTTGCATGTTTTAGGCTGGGATATACTGAAATTAAAATAAAAAATAAAAATACCCTGACGTCGCGGATTGACTGAAAACCTGCAGACTGTTTTCACGTGAAGGACTCATTTGTTCCCCGGGAAACTAGAAAGGATGTGACGTCCACGTGGCTCCAGAGAACGAGCTCTTCCTTTCTATCAAACATGAAAGAAATAATAAGGTCACCTGTATAAGTTTTATTATTATTATTATCATTAATGTTATATATTTATTATTACACGTTCCTGGAGGGCCACCAACACTGCATGTTATGGATGTCTTTATCTCTCACTCCCATTAGAGGTCTGTCAGTCTCTGCTAATGAGCTGATGATCTGAATCAGGTGTGTTTGTAGGAGACATGTAAAATGTGCAGAGCTGATGGTTTTCCAGGAACATAGTTGAGAAACACTGTTTTACACAGATACATGACAATAAAGTGGCCTAAACAACATAATGCTAGGGTGGTAGAAGGTAAATGATAAATATAATACAAAAATAAACAGAAATTGGAAACACTAAAGCAAACACACACAAAAAACAAGTATTTTGTTAAATACAATTCTTACAATTATAGACAAGCAGGAAAAATTAATCAAATGTTTTGAAAATAGAACACAAAAGGACAGTTTTAATGGCCTTTCTATTAGTTTTGTGTTGATTATTCAATTTAATTCATCCTTATTTCTTTAACGCTTTTACAATGTAGATTGTGTCAAAGCATCTTAACATAGAATATAGTAAATTGAAACTGTGTCAGTCCAGTTTTCAGAGTTGAAGTTCAGTTCAGTTCAGTGCAGTTTAATTTTCACTGCTAAAAAGTCCAAACACTGAAGAGCAAATACATTGATGCGCAGCTCAACAAGTCCCAAACCAAGCAAGCCAGGGACAACAGCGGCGAGGAAAAAACTTCACCAATCGACGAAAGTGAAGGAAAAAACCACAAGAGAAACCAGGCTGAGTTGAGCATGACTATTTCTTTTCTGGCTAAACTTCCTGTGCATATTACAGAACTGTAATTTTTCAATTACTTATGAAAATACAGCAAAAGTTGTTGTTTTTTACTAAAACATTAAAAAAAGAACTTATTTTAGAGCAGTAAACACAATACCATGATATTTTTATCCAAGGTTATCATACCTTTAGAATTGATTACTCAGTGTTGGGTAAAGTTACTTTTGAAAGTAATGCATTACAATATTGAGTTACTTCCTAGAAAAGGACCTATAGTTGTGTTACTTAGTTACTTTTGAGTTACTTTTTCATACCCACATATGGCTTGATTTCTTTCAGAATTTGCAGGATATTTTTTTGTAATAGAGGAGCTCTCCATTAAACAACACACTGAATAACCTAGACCTTCATTTACCTTTAAAAAAACAAAAAAACAAAAAACAATACCTTTTGAGAACTTCCTGATGCTGTACATGCCATAGATTAATGCAAGCAATGTGTTTGCTACTTTTGTAATTTTGTCTTATTACTTAGAATTAGAAAGTAAAATCACTGTAGACTATTATCCCCTTTTCTGCTACGTGTTCACAATAATGAGACTTCCATCACAGAAATGTAAGGAGCTGCCATCTAGTTTCTGTCTGTTCCTGCAGGGAGCTCATTCTCTCTTTGAGTGTTATTCAGTATGATTACACAAATTTTAATTCAGCAAATTATTTTGTAAAAGTGAATTAATTAATCTAAAAAGCAACTCACATTGCATTTAAAAAAAAAAAGTAACTCAAACATTATTACTTAATTTACTCAAGTTATGTATACTCGTTACTTATGAAAGTAATATTGTGTTACTTATGCGTTACCCCCAACACTGTTTAACCTATACCGGCTTATGCCTACTTGAATATAAGCAAATGAGCAGATGTGACAAGAATGAAAGTGTGGATAGAGTCTAGAAACAAGGCTTTGTGTGCATACATGTTCACATACAGTGAGTGTGTGTTTAGCAGAAGGCCTTAAATCCCATCTGGCAGTATTAATGCCTCTTGACTGTTGCTGATAGGCTGGGTCATGCCAAAGCTTGCAGGGCAGCAATTAAAACGAGGCAGATAATTGAAGGGTTTTTTTTTTGTTACAGATAATAACAGAACCCATCTGTTGCTCCAGAAATCCTCCTCGACTCTTCTCTTCCTGCACACCCACACGAATACACTCTCGTACGAGTTTGTTTGATAGGAAGATTCAAAGCAAGAGTCTTGAGAGCAGTTTGCTATTAACTGATGAACTAAAGTAGACTAGATAGATAAGAAGAGAAACGCAGCTACATGATGAATGGACAAAACACCGCCATCGGCAACAGAGCGTTTTTCGTCCCGCTCGCTGATCATCGCTGCGTTTCTCTCTGTGCCTTGAATTATAAATGCCTCATCAATGATTGTTGGGACTTGATGTCTGTGCCACAGGAGCCGAGGATCAGCATTTAATATGCAGGTCAGATGCTGCGATTGCTTTACGATTCTGGAGGATGTTTATAGCCCAAGGATTCTGGGAAGCTCAGCCCAGCTCAGCCTGTAAAATATATCGCCGTAAAAAATGTGATGTTCCCGAGTGCAGTTACAAGAGACGAGATTTACAGTCAGCTCTAACTCATTCATCCAAGTTCTGATTGAATATAAAACATTTCAAATTGATCTGTTAATGAGGTGTTGCAAACTAATGGATTTACAGCTTTTTTATTTATATTTTTAAATGTCAAGTTTAAGACAAAATGTACGTACAAATAGACAATATGTATTAAATTGATTTATATATAAATGGGTAAAATGAATGTTAATATGAAATAAATATAAATATATAAGTATGTAAATATGGTTTCATTACAAACACACAGTAACATTTTATATATATATATATATATATATATATATATATATATATATATCAGATAATATATCTATATATACAATACAATTCTGATAAGAACAATTGGCCAGCCTAGTTACCATACATTAACATTATTGAGCATGTTCGGGATCCTAAAAAGCTTGATGAACTCAGGGAGTCTAGCAATAACGCTTTCGTTGCCATTCCAGACTTTATTAATAAGTTTTTGAGTCATTGCAGAGATGTATAGCTGCAGTCCTCCAAGCTCATGGGAGTCGTACACAATATTAATTATTTTTCCACTGCAGCATGACTTTATATTCTTTACTGTATATTATTTCTGTTAAGTGACAAGACTTTTGTCTGAGCAAAGTCAGACCTTACTGTCCTAAATAAATAATTAATAATCAAGGCATGATCATGTTTTATTTTGGTTTAAAAAAAGCGTAATCTAGAGGCCTTTGCCGTTCATGTAAGCCATTTCTGATCCCAAATGATTAACTAGAAGGCAAGTTATTATTTGTTGATCCTAAAACTTGGATAGCCAACAAGACTTTTGTCAGGTGTGTGTGCGCAGTGTGTGTGTGTTTGTGTGCGTGTATGTATATAAATCCTGATAAGAAAATACCAGAATAGTATTAATGTATTTGTTTAATACAATAATGGTTTTCCAGCATGTTACTAGAATATGGACTTATTGTATTTATCAGAAGGCGTACTCAATGTCAGTTTAAAATTAAATATATTGTTTGGTTTTTAAGATGATCAATTCCTAAAATAACAAAACTAATGTTTAAACGTAGATGAATTCTTTAAAATAAATTTTTATTTAAATTTAATTTTTAAATTTAATTTAAAAATTTAATTTAAATTTAATTTAAAAATTTTATTTTATTTTAATTTAATTTTTATAAAAAAATTTTAATTTTTATTAATTTAATAAAAAATGTGTAGAAATGTGTAAACTAAATGTAAACATCTATATACAAATGCAGATGTTCATGTTATTACAAGAAAATAGATGTAGAAAGATAAAATTACATAATTCAAAATTAAATATAACAAATATTAAAATCTAAAAATAAATGCATTGGGACAAACATCAAATACAAAAATATTGCAATGTGCAGAGCGTCATGTGTAAATGTAAATCTGTTTAAACCAATATCAAATAACAAAAAAATAAATAAGGCATCTACACTACCTGACGAGAGTCTTGTCGTCGATCCCAGCTTTAAGTGCAACAATTATAGCTTGACTTCTAGTTGATTATTTAGAAAAGATGCCGAAGGTAGATTTTTCCGTTGAACCATCTGTTGAACTGCATCCCAATCATCACAAATACTGCAGAAGACCTATTGGAACCTACATGGACACAAGAATCTCAGAGAAATTAGTTATGTTTGGTGAAGGAAAAATCATGGTTTGTTGTTACATGCAAGAGATCTGCAGAGTGGGTGGCAACATAAACAGCCTGAAGTATCAAGACATTCGTGTTGCCCATTACAATACAAACCACAAGAGAGGTCAAATTCTTCAGCCGGATAGCGCTCCTTCTCATACTTTAGCTTCCACATCAAAGTTTAGGAGGAGCAAAGAAAGTCAAGGTGCTTCAGGATTGGCCAGTCCAGTCACGAGAACATTATTGAGCATGTCTGAGGTGGGCTGGAGGCATTGAAGATGAATCCAAAGAATCTTGATGAACTCTTGGACCGCTTTTTCTTCTGCATCATGACTTTTTATTCTATACTGTACATTATTTCTGTCAAGTGGCAAGACTTTTGTCTAAGCAAAGTCAGACCTTACTGTCCTAATTAAATAACTAAAAATCAAGGCATGATCATATTTTATTTTGGTAAAATAAGCATAATCTAGAGGCCTTTACCTTTCATATAAGCCACTTCTGAAACCAAACGATCAACTAGAAGTCAAGTTATAATTTGTTCCTAAAAGTTGGATAAATGACAAGACTTTTGTCAGGTAGTGTAAATGAGCTCACGCACGCACGCACGCACGCACGCACGCACGCACGCACACACACACACACACACACACACACACACACACACACACACACACAGAAAAAGAGTATTACAACAACTACCAATTCATAATTTTATTTTCTAAGATTTCTCTCTCTTTTTTTTAATTCTGGAAAAGGAAAAAAAGACATATTACAAACTTAAATCAACAACATCAGAATAATGCATAAAAGGATAGAACAGTATCACCCTTCAACTCTTGCTCCCGATCCATTAAGATAAAAAAAAAAAACGATTCTTAAACCTTAAGATTAAGCTCCTCAAACAATGTTATACAGTACGTACATCTGATAGTTTTAAAAAGACATTTCTATAACTTACGTTCCTTAAACAAAAAAAACAAAAATCTCTTGTTGGATCTGAAGGTATTGGGACAAGTCCAGCCCCAAACCCCAAAAACCAACGTCCTCGTCCCCTCCCGTATATATATATGTCCCCAGATCCAGTCTGCTGGCTCCAAGTCAGTATTGCTTCAGGCCTCCAAACACTTGCGTCTTACAGGAAGAAAACACACGACAACAGTCCACACAAAACTTCCCTTCTGCGGCATCAACAGCAGGCTGTATTGTGTGAGTGGCGGCTCTGAAAAGCACAAGTCCATCGCTTCAATCCACATCTGAGCTCTGACAACTGGCAACTCCGACACCTGTCATCTTTGGTTAGGATGGAGAATGAACAAGCCTCTTTGTGTCCAACCACAGATTACTATATGATGGAACATGGAATCAGGTTGGCAGGGAATTGGTTTTTTGGATGTCGTGTCAAAATGGAATACAGAATTACGGTGCAATAATGAGAGCGATTTTGAAGGGATGAGTGTTAGATTATTAATCCTCAAGATCATATGAGATGGAAGATTGTTATTCAAAAGAACATTCAAGATTTTTTGTTGTTGAAATTGTGGTCTTTAAATCCTGTCGTTCATAAAAATAAAAAAATGACCTGATTGTTTTGTTTTTCCTCATGTGGTTTTAAACGTTTATGAGTATTCATGCTGAATACCAAAGGAGATATTTCGAAGAATGCTGGTTTCTGGAACTCATCGACTTCAGTGTTAGAAAAGCAGTTACTGTGGAAATCAAAGGGACCTATTAACTAGCATTTTTCAACATATCTTCTTTTGTTTTCAACAAAGAAAGAAACTCAAATTACGTGTTAAAAAAGTGAAGAGTGAGTAAATTATGGCAGAATTAAATTTTGGGGTGAACTATCCCTTTATTGACCACCGGCTCTTTGACTATGCAAGAAATGGAACATTCCAAAGTTTTATATTGATCCTTATCGATGTCACACATCTATGAAAATAAATGATTGACCACTTTATTAATAGAACTTGATAATCCTCAGATTCTCTGGATTTTTTTAGTTTGGTTTTCAGTAAATTATTTTTTTTGTTCTATAAAAAGGTCTTCAAAGGTCTATTCTAAAAGAAATTCTACAAAATTTGAAACAAAAAGATTAGAATTTGGAAAGAAAAACAAATCTGAAAATGACAATTGGCCAGAATAACAAATGTTTTCATTTGTAGTGATCAAGGTTATTGCACTAAATACTGATTTCAAAACTCTTGTTGAGTAATGAAGTTTCCAATGCGTGCTGTCAGTTTTTTTTTATATACTTTTTAGTGCGTTAATCTTGTCAATATTATTCAGAAAGTAATGATTCACAATAATTAAAATAATTACTTTGAAAAAAAATGGTGCCAGTAAAAAAAAAAAAAAAGTATAATTTTGGTTAAATATGAGAGAGACTGTATCAGATGTTTCTATCCTGAGTTTGTATCTATTATTCCAGTATTACTGTTTTTATTTTATTTTATTTAGATTTGGAGTTAGATCTCAGGATTTGTTCAAAAATCAATAAAAAAAAGAATAATAAAAAAATTACTTTGTGTAATTTTTATTTTACATTCGTCAGGTGATACAAAACACATTTCGGCCTTCCTTAGTGTGTGGAAACGTCTGGGTTTTGTATCACCTGAAGAATGTAAAATGTTTAAACATTTTAATTATGTTGTCTATTAAAAGTGTCTGGAAAAAATGGCCTGTTATTATTTTATGCTTGACAGCATTTTTTATTTAAATTTTGAAAAAAAATGTCATCCGCAGCTTACAGAATAAAGCACAATATGGTTTAACTCAAACACATAACTAAAATCAACAATTAGAGAAACTGGATATCTTCAAGTCGCCTATTTTTTATCCTAACTGTCTATCAAACATTGGAAATCTATTTAAATGTTAATAATGTTCTTTTTCTTGCTTACTTTGCTTCACAAAACCTCAAAACTCCATCAAGATTGTATTAATTAAATAATTTAGTTATTTTTCTTAAACAAATTTAGTTTTCTCAATAAGGATTTGAATGCCGGTAGCACAGATCCTCTTTTAATCTCTTTTAATTAACCGAATAAATAAGCACACGTTTTCCTTTTTGGTTGAACTATCCTTTTATGCAGAACCCATATGAATAGACTGAGTGGATGGATGTATGAATAGTTGGAGGTTAAATCCCCCCAAAAAAGAGAAGACAGGGATATTCAGAGATTATATCATATCTGGCACCACAAAATCATAATATTTATCAAGCGAAAACCTACCCTGACAAGATACCGAATTTTCAGTGAATCAAATAAACGCAAATGATGTGAAATCTAGAATAGCTGTGCAGCCCACAGTGTTAAAAGGGCAAGAATGAAGCACACAGCACGGAAAAGTCACGTCTTATCTCACTGACAAGCCTCGCTAGTCTTTGATGCGTCACAAAACAACAGAAGGTCACATGGTTTGGCTCTTGTCATTTTGTTGAAGACCATTCAATCAAGATCTGTAGCAGCAAGTTTCCTTGATAATTCACAGTTGTAAAAGCTTACTCCGAAAGAAAGACGCCGCTCTGAATTCACCACTAGTGTTTTAAAATCGTACGATCCAATCTTTTTAAGAATAATAGTTGCGTCCAAATCACTTCAGACAAACTCCCTTTGAAGATGACCTCATTGTTGTGCCTTTATTGCTAGTTATAATCTTTAAACCTACTCAGCTGTCAGTACATTGCTTAGATGATTTAAACTATGTGCCACTAACTAGCAATTTGACTTGAATTGGGAAAGCATAACAATCATGAAGACGAGACTTTAAATGATGTGCTATGCGTTTAAACAAAAAATTAAAGAGAGTAAACATGTGCAATTAGTGCTTGATCTCAGATTCGAATGCCATGATGCAAACAGACGTGATGTCACACTTAAAACAGGAAAAACTGGTTGCGAGTTACCACAGGGCTCAAAAGTGATTTTTGCTTTAATCTCCGACTGCTACCTGTGCTGTTGTGTGCCTTACTGCTTCTTACATAATTAAACCACATATTGACTTAAAAGCCCTGATTAAAACGCTTCAGAATGAAAGTGGAAATGCTACACCGAGAATGTGGCTGTAGGAAAGTCCCGAATTGATACAGAAACCTTGATCTTTCTACTGGCCCAACATGATGTATGGATCTGGCTGTGAATATACTCTGTATCAAGTCATCCCGAGAATATTTAACTGAAATATGATGATGATGATGAGCTGGTTTCTATCACCTCAGGGTGCTATGGACACCCTTACGTGTTAAGAAGAAAGGATAAAGACACCGAAAAGAGAAAAAAAATAGGAGAGAAACAAAAGCCAACGTCCTCAAATCTGAGCTTTCCCTGCCTGGAGCGGTGCAGATCATCATCTCATCCTTTACATAAAGGCGAAAACTCATTGGAAGGGAACGTCGGTGCATAGAGATCAACATCCCGCAGGGTTTATAAGACAGAATAGACCCACACACACACACCTGGGCACAACAGCCCTCCAGAGGAGGCCAAATGGTTTTGACGAGTGAATGAAAACGCAGAGGTTGGCATCTGTGGAGGATGCTTCAAAAACTCACTCCTGAAAATCATCCACCGAACAACCGGCTTATTCCATCCCGCAGGGTCAGCGAGGCTAGGAAATTTGCCAGCCGCTGAGATTGAGCTATTTTAGGTTGCCTGATGAGAAGTGGGAAGGCTGAGGCATCATGGGAGCGCGGCAAACTGACAGATGAATGCTCAGACGGAGAAAGAGAGGTACAGGACTTTGTGTCTGGCTTATTTCATTGGACTGAAACCAGAATTCGTCCATTCTTTCCTCACAGAAACTCCACTTCCATCCCCCAGAGTTCCACACACACAGATGTGACAAATGGAAAAAGAAAACACTTAAGAAACAAATTCTGTCACGCTGCTCTCCGACAGTGATGTTTGTCCATACAAAATGGCAGCCTTTAATAAGTTAGTGATGCGCACGCTCGCTCAGACTGGGAGATGGTGGGATGATGAGAAGGAGATGGAGGAGAGTTTTAGGCATGTTGTACGGCCAACTCCTGGCCGATGAATCGACGGAGGCGTTCCAGGTATTGGGTGTACAGTTCGATATCGTTGTGTCCGGCTCCCTCCACCCAGAGCGGCTCCACGGCTTTAGGGCAGCGTTCGTACAGGGCCAGCCCATGGGAGAAATCGATCACCTCGTCCTCCGTTCCATGAATGATCAAAACCGGAGACGTGATTTTAGACACTTTCTCGATGCTGAAGCGGAGACACAATAGAACACAAGGGCAGTGTTAGAATTAACTTACTTATTACAACTGAATATCTCATTATGCACTTGACATATCAGTAAAAGTACATAAATAGGTTTCCCTACTACTCGTTTTTTTTTTTTTAAAGCAGTGTGACAGGCTGTAGATTTCAAGTAATGTGCTTTTATGTTTTATTAGGTGCATTTCGTGGGGATGTTAATCAATTTAGGGATGCAACGATTAACTGATTTTGCTACTAATTGCAATTTAATTCGTCACTGTTAAAAAATCGTAAAGGCTTCTCAACACCGGGTTTCTGCATGGAATAAAACGGCTGCAACTAAACAAAGTATTGCCACCTGTACGTTTCTTTATAGTCCTAATGAACCGGAAGCTGTTATCATTATTTTTTTCGTATAGTGACTGTTCTTAAAGAAACTAAATTCTAAAAAAGCAAACAGTGGGCGGGCATTTCATTCAGAAAGATCAGGAAAAGGGTTTGGGGAGAGTTATTACAACCTATCAGACTCCTCCTCACCGTTTCTGTTGGTTGACAAAAGTGACAGTTGGAGGTGCGTGATTAAGTATGTTAGCCCCGACGCCTATTACCTCAAAATCAGGTAATCTAATTTAACTGAAAACAAACAGGAAGTGCATTTTTAGATTTAAATTACAGATTAGAAGGATTTTTTTTTTCCTAATGACATGCTCAGATGCATTGTTCACCACAAAACTGGCAATGTGAGTAAGGGTGTCACGATCCTCCAAATCCTCGATTCGATTACATTTTCGATTCTAAAGGCACGATTCGATTCGATTTTCGATTATGAATAATTAATTAATTAATGACCAATTAATTATTTGTAGCCTACCGTTTAAACTACCTGACCTGCATGGTCTTTGTTTTACCCATAAACAAATCATACAGTAAATGAATAAAGGCAAGTTACACACATAATTACCACCTGTCAATCACTTTTTCTGCGGGACTCGTGAATAGGCAGTGATCTGTGTCATTATAATGGCGTCGGTAAAAAAGACGCACAACCAACAGGAACCAGCCAACAGTATCTGAGGTGTTCGCTAAAATGACTAAGTGCAAGTGAGTGAAAGATTGAAGCAGTCCTCTGACTGCCTGGACCTGCTGTCGAGCGCATGGCTGTGTATGCGTCTGTGTCTGTGTGGTCACATGATGTACATTTTCAGAGGTAGAGAGGAAGGAGGGCTACTCAGAAATGCTACACGCCACTGTGGATGTCAAATCGTTGTCGTTCTAAAATGCCATTTAAAAAGAAAGACAGTGTAAACAGGGCCTGAGTGTGTACTTTTCGCGAGCGGATTTGCAACGGGGGCGGGCGGAGGATCGCAATGCCGGTGTTGTCTATCGGACGAACCGTACGTAATACGTACATAGCAGAGCTTGCAAAACTGTGTTTTTTTTGTCGACAACACGAACGTTGTCAACATAACTCACTGGAAATCCAAAATGCTTACACACCAGCGACTTCATTGAAAGAGGAGAGGGTTTAAGTTCTGTCAACGGGTCTCCTGCTTCTGCAGTTTAACAAGCACTTCAACAAGCCTGTTTTTCCCCGCTTGGCAAGCCAAGCTGACGTGACATGGGGGCGTGGCAGCATCGACGATTCTATTTTTTGATTCGATAATCGAAATTGAGCATAAATTTCGATCGATTTCGATTAAAAATCGAAATCGTGACACCCCTAAATATGAGCACACAAAATACTTAAGGTTAGTTCTGATTTCTTGGGGACTTTAAAGTTTCAAGCTTGTACACTGAAGCAAATACACACATACTGAATTAACTATGGCTGATGCTATTAACTAAGGGCAGTTTACAGATCACGTTTTTTGTGTGCACAGGTTCGATAATTCTTGTCTAGCTTGCATATTGGGAGTTACGTGCACACAGCACAATGCACTCACGCTTACCAGGCACACTCAGTTGAAAGAATGGCAATAGCACACCACAAGTCACGTGACAAGAACAGACCGATCAGCTTCATGCTTTGTATAGAACATACACATTTCAATTCCAAAGAGAAAAGAATACAAAAATGAAAATACCAAACATTTTTTATAAAGTTAATTAAAAGTGCCTTTCAGACGGAGGTTCAGGAGCCTTAGTTCTCAAGGGAAATAATTAACTAATATGTTGCTTAGATTTACATTAGACTAATATTATTTATTTATTCTTATTTTGATGCATTTATTTATTGTTCTGTCATTTATTTTCAGTGTCAAATTATTATTTATATTTAAATGCCAAAAACTTTTTTTTTCCAATTATTTTTAAGTCCTAAGAGAAAAGGATTATTGCTTGTTTATTACTATTATTATTATTATTATTATTATTATTATTATTATTATTATGTGCTGTATTGTTTAGTTATTGAGCAGCAATAAATAACACTTTAAAATTAATGTGATTTTCAAAACTAGTAGTTTTTTTAATTTAATAAATGCATAATAATCGCGGTAACCGTGAACAATTGATTATTCCTCAGACTATAATTGTACAACCAAAATCTTTAATCGTTGCATACCTAATCAAGTTGACTTTGAATATTTTAAAGTGACAGTGAAGACATTTGTTATTACATTTAATTTTCTTTTCCAAAAAAATATCAAATTAAATAAATTTTTTACACAAAAATTAGGCAGCACCGCTTTTTTTTAACTTATGACGATGATAAAAATAACAATAATACAAAGAAGAAGAAGTAGAAGAATAAATGTTTAAAATAAACATATTATAATGAAATCTGAAGCAACGTGATACTAAAGTCTAGTTTAAAGGAAGTTTAAAAACTCTGCAAAAAAAGCTTGGCCACCTGGTTTAACTTAATTATTTAAATTTGTTTAAAACAGTAAAAGTATTTCAAATATTATTAAGATAAAAATACAATTAATCAAATAAACATGGCCTGCATCAGCATGAAACCAAAAATAATAATTAACATATTTTTAAACAGTAATTAACATGCAAATATGCATCTATAATGCAAATTATTACTTTAGATAATATTTAGAATACTTATAATAATAATAATAATAATAATAATAATAATTATTATTATTATTATTATTATTATTATTATTATTATAACAATGTTGTTATTATGAATGAAAACAGTTTGGCAGCTTGTATTTTCAAATGTTGCACATGTGGCGTACACATTTGTATGTGTTTGGGAGCCAGAAAACCAAACAGCTGTCAGCCAACTACACAACACTTGTGCGTGAACAGTAGTGGTTGTGACTGCAGCTGTATGGCAACCATGTGTTCTTCTACACTGGCACAGAGTGACACCGCCCACCGAGTGCAGCAAACCTCCCTCTGAGCTCCACAACCCTGCTGTCACAGCTCATATGCAACAATGAAAATGATTGTAATGAAACTTAAAAAAAGAAAAGCCTTATTCCCTTTAATCAAGGGCTGAAAGTCTAAGCTGGAAAATAGTCTACAGCTACTTTATTCATCGTGCGATCGTTTCGGACTCGTTTTTTGTGTCAAAACAAGCAGCTCAGTATAATCTCCACCATCACAACCCGCTCCCTTTCCTCTTGCCAAAACCCGAAAGCCAGTGAATCGCTCATAAATAGCAGCAATCTGTACTGGCCAAATCGTCAGCTCATAAGAAAACTGCAATAATGAGGACAACTTTGAACTGTTTTTGGTACTCACTTGGGAAATGCGTCAAAGCAGTAAGTCTTCTTAGTGTCGGGAAAGGCCACCCTCATGCCAGAGGTGAGAGGAGAGTGAAGAATCACAGCCGCACACTCATATCGCGATGCCAGGTCCACCGTTGGCACCGTGCCAATGCTCTGTCCATACAGGATGATGTTCTCTGGGCTGATGCCATATCTGTTTGAAAAGAGAGGAAGCGAAAGCTAACTGAATGTCATATACTCAACAAATAACTGTCATGTGTCAATGTGATTTACAGTCTATTTACAGCAGTATGGAGACTGCTGGCAAAAAATATATATATATAGTGCCAATCTATTCACAAACAGTGCAGTGTGAATTTACGTCAGCCTTTGAAAACTCGCATTCCTGAATTAAAGCAAATTGAGCTCTCTGTTCATTTAGTTGATTGATTCTGATTCCACTTAATGAATTCTTACTAATTTTTTGGCACTTCTAAGGCTTATTTAGGCTAAGAAACAAAGTTGCCTAGTTATTTAAGGTTACATCACCTACCATTAAAAAGACTAGTGGGTTTTTTTTTGGTTAGGGAAATATGTATTATTTTTATGTGTGATTTCCAGAGGTTGTAGCTGTATTTTCTTTGTGAATATTAAAGGTTTAGCAAAAAAAAAAAAAAAAAAGAAATGTGCGCACATCTGAAAAATCTTGAAGGCAGGTGCTCGATCAAAAAACAAACACTTGTAGCAAAAAATCCAAAGAAAATCAGCACACTGCCACTTTAGCTCTCAAAAAGTCTTTAGTCACAAATGTGACATTAAAGACTTTTTGAGAGCTAAAGTGGCAGTGTGCCGATTTTCTTTGGATTTTTTGCTACGAATATTAAGGGTTTACTCACACTAGGCTATCCAAACCATGCCTAGGCACGTTTGTCCCCCACTTCCAGGTTCGTTTGACAAATGTGAGTGCTCCGAATTGGGCCCAAGCACGGTTCAGTTGGCCTGCCCTGGCTCTTTGGAAGAGGTGTGGAGAGTGGTTTGATTGGGCTTCAGCACAATACGCTTGTAGTGTGAGTGCAATGCATGCTGAAGACACAACGTCACTATTAAGGGACTGTTTCATAATATGGATTTAGTAATCATTCTTACTTTTTAATGAACACAAACGGTCATAGTTTATTAAAGATACAAACCCCCTGAGGAAGAATGGTGACTTGGTGCACTGCAGAGAATACGTTCTAGTACAATTTGTGCTCGCTTTAGCCTAATACAATTTAAAGTATTTCATAGAATCCATTTCTCAAAAACCAGGCTATCTGAAATTTTTCCCAATATTGATGACAGATGTGACAGATGTCATGCACCAGGTGTAATTTAAGGTATATGTTCTGTATATGCCCTCTGTTACAGAATTATTGAATTTATTATTTTACAATTATGTCCAAGGTGTTGCAGGTAAATATAAACCTGTCCCCTGATGTTGCCATTTTTGGGGTTCCAAAGATTTGGTCCAAGTTCAATTCTAAACAACTTGATATTTTGGCCTTTACTTCACGATTAGCCAGGCGTGGTATTCTACTTCACTGGAAATCAAATAAGCCTCTAACTACATCCCAATATCTTGTAGATACCATGCATTTTCTAAGGTTGGAAAATGTTAGATGCTCTGGGAAAACTAATTTCTTTAAAAAGTGCCAATGTTTTATAACTTACTTTAACTCTCTTAAGGTCTTGCTTTCCATTTAAAATGCACTCTCCTGTCTTTGAATTAATTTATTTCATAGTAATTAAATTTATTTGTTTTTAACGATTACTATTTTATACTGTTCAATTGTTAATATTCTCTCTCAACATTGACAATGTATCTGAACATTTGATTATGATAGCTGGTTGTAGTTTTCTGTACACTTATTACTCATTTCCATTTTTCTTTTCCCCTTTTATTATCATTGTTAATTTGTAGTTTTTTTTCCTTTTTTATTATTATTTTTCTTCTCTTTTGTAAAAAAAAAGCAACAACAAAGATGTAACTATTTGTACTGATATAGTGTTAGTTTTTTTCCAAAAAAAAAAAAAAGAAGTTGAACTTAAAGATACAAACCCCTGCTGCGTAACAGCTGCAGCTTCAGCAAACCTCTTAACACGTGCAGCATGATGACTTTCATGAATATTTATGAGCATCAAAACTGGTGGATCTGTTCAGCAAAAGATTTGACTGTGTGGCACCGATTCGCAAGTGACTTAAGCCACCTTTCCACTGCACACAACAAATGACAAGCGACAGACCGGAAGTCAATTATTTCCAATGGAGAGTAGTCCAATGGAAGTTGCGTGAAGTTCCGATCATCTCTGTATGCGAAAATCCGGATCCGATTTGAGCTGCGGATTTGTTAAAATATTTGAGCTCCAGCGACTAGACCGTATGCGGCCGACCAACTGGATTTGATGTATTCCAGTGTTGTCTAATCAGATCCGTGTGCGTGAATTGAGAAATAGTATATTTTTTGAATCAGAAAAAGTTTATATTAAAAAAAACATTTCTATTCATAAATAGAAGTAATAAAAAGTAATAAGTACCTATAGAGTAATATTTTTTTATGTTGTCTCCACATATGACCTACGAGAGATCCTAGCATTCATTCATTCAACCATGGTGAATGGACAGAGAATAAAGGCTCTTGCTTTTGCACTCCTTTCAGTGTTTGCCTTTTTTACTCAGATCTACCAACTACCTGTAAAGTAATTTGAGGACAAATGTCTAGAGCGCAGTATTACAATTCAAGATCGCATTTATCTAATAGCCTACAGCATGAGATTCCCTTTGCTTCCGCGAAGATTTCTTCTGCTCGTGCACAAAACGTCTTCCACATCCCTTCAAATAAACACTGCTCAAACGAATGTTCTTGTGCGCTCTCAAATAAACGCTACTGAAGTGCGATTTAGTGCGTTTATGTAACAAATATGTCTCCAACATTTCTTAGATTTGCTAGGAACATTTATGAATGTCTCTAATAGACCTACAAGGAGACATTAATGCGTCCTGAAGTAAAGTGAAACGGCTATATGTCGTGTTTGCTGGCCTCACGCATCACGCACCTGTAAGTCAGTCAGTCAGTCAGCACCTAGCCTTAAAGAGTTAAACAAACAGCGCACAGCACGACAACGGTTACAGAAAAGTTTGCGCTGTTATAATTGATTTACCTTTTAATACGTTTTGGTGCGATTATCACCCGCTATAAAAAAAAAATACAACAATGTTTTGAATGAGAAGCTGTAATGTAGCAGTGGCGGGATCAATTTTGGCGTGGCGCTCCACCATGGAAGAATGAATATAGCGGAAACCATGCCTTTATTTCAGACACAGAGAATCCAGCTTCTCTCCCATGGTGCACAACAAAACTGAAATATCTGTGCGACTGCCACAAGGGGGCATATGCCGACAATTGTGTCCAAATGTGTGCAGTAAAAAGGCAGCTTTAAAATAATACAAAACAATTTAACTAAAGCAATCTCAACAATGCAGAGCGAGAGCGCTTCTCTTCTGTTAACTGAACAGTCGATCATCAATGACGGAAACGTGCTCAGGCTCGGAGGGTTAAAAATAACAGTGTGAGTGCAGGTCGAGGGGAAGAGTGAAGGGGGGACAATCACCCCTACAGAAAAATTCAGCTTAAACCAGCCAAGCAGCCTAGGCTGGTTTAAGCTGGATTTTTCAGCAAGGACACCTAAGCATTGTTCTAGACAACCGTGTCCGAGTACACCCCTCACCAACTTTAAGTACTTTACTTATTTCTTCTTTTTTAACTATTAATTTTATTCCTGTCTATCTACTCTTCATTATTCTTTTCCTCTTTAAATTTGTATTTATTTACAAACTTGTTAGTTCATTTATTTGTTATTATTGTTTGTAATCTGATTTTGTTGTCCATTTTTGGACTATACCATCACAATGTCTTCAAAATTAGCTTGGTTGTATTTTTGAAAACACATTGTACATTTAAAAAATTTGACTAAACATGTCACACAAAAAGACTGGTGTGAATGTATAGGTTCAAGACTGTCATGTGACAAACCACTAAATAACTAAGACTATTTAAATCTTACAAGCCTCAATAAACAGAATAACACTTCTGAGTTCGTTTCAGTTTAGACATGTGGTTAAAATAAATTTACAATGTAATTAGGTTTTAAAAAGTAATTTATTACGGTGTTGGCAAACAAAGCATCATTCCTCAAGCCTTCAGTCTTACACGGTCCTTCAGAAATGATTGGTGCTCACAAATCATCTCATTATTACCAGTGTAAAACATTGTGCTGCTTGATATATTTATGGAAAGCACTGCAACTTTCAAGTTCCTTTAAAGAAAAAAAAGATCAAAGGAACAGGTGTAAACAGTAGCCAATATGTAGCACTGCAAATCTTGAACTCCACTACAGGAATGCAGTTGTTTGGGTTTGTGCCCTGATATTGATTTTGTGACTCACCGTGAGCGTAGAGCCTGCCACGCTGCGTCTATATCTGCATACAAATTCTTTTCGGAGGGCTTTCCCGTACTGACCCCGTAGCCGGAGTAATCATAGGAGAATATGTTACAGTTGATGCGAGTGCCCAGGCCGATATAGAAGCTGCTCATCTGCCCTAGATCCACCGCATTACCATGAGAGAACAGGACAGTGAACCTGCGGAGAGTGATGGAGGAAAGGGGTATTGTTATGGGATTTTTAGTACACAGTAACACTCTAGTACACTCATTTATTACACTATTTCAGGGTCTGACTCAATGAGATGGATCCACAGAGAGACTTAATGACCTATAATTTCACCCTCTGAATCACTGGGCATGTAGGCGCATCTGCAGTGAGCCTGATACACCGCAGGGAAGGGTTTTATAACTGATATGTGTAGAACTGTGTTATACCAAAGAATCCAAAACATCCATCTGCAATGTGTATTTCAAACAGGGCTATTTTAGTACTAATAGTAAATAATATTATGGTATTCAGTTCCATTTTGGATGAGCTCGAGTTGTTTATTTTTATTGCACTGTCAGCATCCAATTCTATTTTCAAGGCAAAATGAAATTACAATTTTAAAAGTTGCATAAATGCAAACCTATCAGGCAGAAAAACTGTTTAAAACTAAATAAATAAGATTTGATATAAATTCTGAAATATTATCAAGTAAAATCTTTTTAAATAATTACAGATTTCCTATTAATAGACCACTTGTACTTGTACTAAAACCAGGACAGTTCGATAAAACATTATTACATGCTTGTGTTGTTTTTGTCCTGTTTTGTGTTTTTTTTTTTCTATTTCAAAATTTACAATATTATGTTTGTTCTTATGGGTGGGAGTGTTACGTGTTTGTGTTGTTTTTTTTATTTCCATTTTTCTCTCTTGCTCTGTTCTCTCATATCAGCTTCATTTTCTCAGGTTCCGTTCATTGGTCAATCCATCTGTCACTCTTTTCCTCCCTGGTGATGTCACTCTGACGTTATGTTCTACAGGCCAAGACCTCCCGACATAAAAGTGCGTGCCAGACAACTCACTAGGCTCCTTTTTTTTGTCCCTCTTGTTTCTGTTTGATTGCGGTGCTATTGTGTCGCGTTTAAAGAAAAACCTGTCTAACTGTGTATTCTGTTGTTGCCCGTTTTTGCGTGTTCACTTTATCCATCCGCCATTCATATCGTACCATTCCACTTCTCAATTTTGTTAATTTACTTTGTTCAAGAGGCTCAGACAAAGCCAACAGGTTAGCAGGTCACGTGACATACATTTAGCAACACGTAGAACTACTCTTATGTATAGTACATTAGGTTAGGGGCAAAATAAAATAAAACGAGATTCGGCCCAACAAAACATATATTTTTAAATCACTGTCATTGTTGTGCAGTCACATATACACTTGTGGTTTTGAACTCCCACCTATTGGACATTTAAAGTATTGTACTATATATCCGTGTTACTTTCGGTTTCTCTCAGTGTGTGGTCGAGAGTAACGCACATACAGATTATTTGCGGGGCTGATTTAAACGTTGAAATATATGTCTCTATTTAGAAAAATCAGTTTTTTAACAAAAGCTCGATTTTTTTGTAAATATTCAAGGGTCATTTGATTATAATCAGTTTTATACCCCCTGTATTTTGTTGTACAAACACATCTCTGTTGTTATGCTAATTATTATTATTATTATGCCTATTTTTAAATTGTAGTACTTTCATAGTAATTCAAACTACCCCTTCAATATATACAATAAGAAACAAAAAGAAAGAGCTTGACTGCAAATACTCTAGGTTTGAGTGCATCAGTTACATCAGGGATCCACTTTTTTTTCTTGAGCTTGAATGTTAAAGCGGCCCTCCTATAAACTGTTAGTCACTGATATGGCCCCGCCAATTTGAGTTTGAGACCCCTGCACTAAAATCAGGAGTTTGTAAGTTTGTTTCTTTTATAAATGTCGTTTTATAAAAGTCATTTGTTGCAAATTTTTCAGATTTTTTTTAATTTTTAATTTTAGTCATTTTACATAAAGATGAAAAAGTTTTTGTTTTTAATTAATATAACAAAATGTATATGTATATGTGTATATATATATATGTGTATATATATATATATATATATATATATATATATATATATATATATATATATATATATATATATAATTTATTTAAATAAAATTAGGTGAACATTTTTATTCCATTAAATATTTATATTTTATGACTTTTACTTTGCATACAGAAAAGAAAATGCCAACTGTGCCTATACACCTACAATATAAAAACTCATCCAATAAAAAACACCTTTAAAGAGGAAACAAAGCAGCACAGTAATAATAAAGTGGCGCGTGATAAAGGAGGAATGCGTCCAGGAAGGAGTGGCTTCTGGGTAAAGATAGCAGACAAACTCAGAGAGGGAAGCAGGAAATGGGACAAAAGGAAAGATGGAAAAAGAGTAAAGGAATGTAAATGACCCACGGGAGGAAAAAGCAGGGTCCATCAAGGGAAACGTGACACTTTGAGTTCAACATGCATTTATTTTGAAAGACCCTTCAAAATAAACATATGCATCCTACCTGGCAGAGGGGGCGCAGCGGATGTACATGCAGCCCACTCTGTTTCCCCGGCTGGAGCGTGTCAGGAACACTTCCGTGGCGTCCAGTTCCCGTTGGGAATACTGGAATTCTGCCCGCTCTGTGAGGTGGAGCTTCCAGCGCCCCTCTCCTGTAGCACTGCTTCCCCCTACCGAACTCCCTCCACCACCCCCTCCTCCCCGTGAACGGAGGCCTGATGTCCCCGTGGGTCCCGCCGGTACTGGACCGGCCTCCAGATCGGGCAGGAGGGCATAGGTGGGCTCGGGGGGCAGAAAGGCAAGCTTGGCAGCAATGCGGCTGGGGCAGGGAGGGCAACAGAACAGGCAGCACAGCTCACTCACAGAAAGGCCATTCATTGTCAGCTGCAAGACAGAAGACTGTCAAAACTAGACATATGCCAATATATTCAATATTACAATATATTGTGATAATGAACATGCATGACATAGTTAGTGTTGGCACTTCAGGATACCATGTCTAATTCTGTATTATTTATTTTTTTATGGTAACAGTAAAAATGTTAAGATTGATGTAAAAGCAGTGGTGCTTATCACAGCACCAATCCCTTGAAGACTGGTTCATTTTAAACAAATATGTTAATGTTAATCTGTGAAATAGTGACTGACAAATGTCTGATTCTTTGAAGAAATATTGATCTGTAATACTTTACAATAAAGCTACATTGGTTAACAATAGCTAATTAAACTAAAATGGTGATGTTCGTGTATAGGGTTTCTCCAGGTTCATCATGTCAAATTTAAGACTTTTCAAGGCCATTATGAATACCATTTTTAGACTTACATAAGACTGAACGCTAAGGATTTTTTCTCATGGCCCAGTTAAACATTAAAAACAAATATAAAAAAGCCATCTTGGTAAACAGAATGAATAAGCTTTTGTTAAAACTTTTATTTAGATGGAATGTTTGATTGGATAGGTGTTGGCCCGATTAGGTAGCATTACGTGGACATTTGTAGGAAAATGAAGACCTACAACACAACATTTCAGTAAATTTAAGACTTTTTAAGGCCTAAAAAGTTGTTTTTGAACTTTAAGACATTTTAAAACTTTTTAAGACCCTGTGGATACCATCATGTAAATATAAATTTCTTTATATTTTAAGTTTTTTAAACTTGCATTAATTGCAACATATTTCTTAAGCGTTAACAAGGGCCAGACAGAATCAAAATTTTTTGCTATTTCTACGCAGAATATTGTAAAAAATCTGCAGATTTATGATGAATGATTCTGGGTGTATCGGAACAAAAAACTTAATTTGTTAAGTTTTAATAAAAATAATAAAATGTTTTATTTTTATTTATGTTTACATTTCAAATTCTATTAGATTCATTTATTTGGTAAACAAAGCAAGTCTCTCTTTTAATACATCTACTAAAAGACAGAAATTATTAGTTTACAAACTGTATTGTAAAGAAATCATATGAACATTTTCATAATAGTCAGTAGTATTACTGAAATTAATTTAAAAACTGAATAAATCTAAATTTACACACATTTACACACAACTAAATAAATACTCGATGGGCTGGAAATCTGCAAATTTCTGCGCACAGAATCCGTGTGGGCCTAGTGATAACTTATTGTAAAGTTTTACCTGTTGTATGATAAAATTATCTGCCAATTTAATTAGTCTGAAACATTCGTTTACTTTTTTATACAATGCAATACACAAAAATGTACAGTTCATTTCATTATATCTGTCAATAGTCATTTCATGTGTTGCAGTTTATTTCATTAAGACCTACAACACAATATTTCAGTGAATTTAAGACTTTTTAAGGTCTACAATTTTGTTTTTGAATGGATACCATGATGTGAATATAAATTGCTTAATGTTTTAAATTTTCATTTTCGTGCTTATATCATATATTGTGACAAGCTTCAGCAAATGTCACAAAAGACCGTATAGTTCATAACATCACATGGTGAGTCAGATTAGAGAAAAATGACACAATTATCATAACTCCCTTAATTTTATGATAAACATCTACAATATAATAATATTATAAACTTGTATTCAAAAAATGAAAATAAAGATTGATATTGCGATGGTTTTATAACTGTGGAAACTAGTCATCATAGTATTTGAAAAGGAATTATCTTATAATTTATTATTATAATTTATAAATATTATTAGACACTAAGAGTCATGTGATGTCAACATGGCGGAATCCAAGAAGGGGCAACCCTTTCCAATACATTTTCTAAAAAATACTCTAAATTTCTTCCTGTTCGGTTAACTAATCTAATTTAACGTGATCATTTAATAAAGGTAGTACATTTACACTTTCGAAAAACACAAGATTAAAGGTGGAGCCCTCTCTGAAATGTTTCTCATCCATAAATTTTCTACAAAGACTCAAATGCGCAAAAACCTCCAACAGTTAACAAACGGTTAATAAGTAATACCCAGGTAGATTGAACTCAGCAATTCCGTAAACCTATCTCCTAGCTATACAGTCCTCTTAGCTTAAAACCGATAGTCTGTCTGCCATCTGACACTGTATGGACTACAAATATAAATAATATATACTGACAGTCAGATTTTACCGGTTAGAGTCAGCAACAAACCAGTTGTCAAATCAGACTCGCGCATCGCCAACTTTATCTCATAATCTACACATCGATTAGCTACAAATGAACCACACATTGCTAACAAACACAGTAATGTATTTATTTTCCACATACGTGTCGTTCTCTTGTCCGCAGCCTGCCAAAGCCGGATTTCTTTATATTTTCACACCTCTGTCGCTAAGTAGCTAGCTCGTATGAGGGGGTAGAGGGAGTTAGCCAGCTAACGTTAGCCAGTCAAGCTACGGCTCCTCTCAGATGACAAATAAAGGTCTAGACGCCGATGAGGACATGTCTCGTCCGCGAAGCAGAAGCAGAGGCTTTCAGGAATAAAAGTCAATATCTGGTTTGTCGTTCCAAGATGATTCCCGGATATAGTCCCGACATGCAATAATCTACTGGTACAGGCTAATAGCGCTGTGTATGTTTTTTCAACTCCGGTCAGAGATGTTGCTTAGCCTCGCCACTCTTCATTGCGTCTCCGGCTTGAAGTGGGAGGAGCTAGATGTGGGAAATCGTAAAGTAAACATGGGTTAAAACCAGTTTGGCTGAGAGATAAATGATTCATAACTGTAACATTTATACATGCATATTTATACAGTCGAACAAAACAATAATGATACAATACTTGGTAATTGTTTTAAATAACCTTTTAATACTATATAAAAGTATATAAAATATCTATAAACAAAGATATTGTAATTATTACAATTTTTTAACAGTGTGTTTGGTCATGCTATAAAAGCATTTATAAAAGCAAACAAATTATATTTTGTTTGCATTTACAAAGTTTCGATCGTTGTAAATATAGAAATAATGAAGAAACCTGCTATTTTAATTATATAAATAACAAATGTGCAATATTTACATATCTTTGCACAAAAATAATGAGTCTAATGGCCTAAATTGTGTAATACAGTCAAGCTAAACAATAATGATACAATATTTGGTAATTGTTTTAATCTTTAACATAAATAAAATATATACAAGTGTATAAAAATGTTTAGAACATTAAAAAAACTAAATTATTGATTTCTTTAAATGGTTTTGGGCGGTGATGCTAAAAAAGCATTTATAAAAGCAAAAAAAAATGTATTTGCATTTAAAAATATTCTATCATTGCTGATATAGAAATAATGGAGAAACATGCTGTTTTTAATCACATGAATAACAAATGTGCAATATTTACATAATTCTAGACAAAAATAATGAGTCTAATGGTCTAAATTGTATGATACAGTCAAACAAAACATTAATGATACACTACTTGGTAATTGTTTTAATCTTTAGCATGAATAATCAACATAAAAGTATATAAAGTGTTTATAAACATTAAAAATACAGAATTATTGATTTCTTTAAAGGGTTTTGTTTGGTCATGCTATAAAAGCATTTATAAAAGCAAAAAAAAATGTATTTGCATTTACAAAGATTCTGTCATTGTTAATATAGAAATAATGGAGAAACATACTGTTTTTTGGATCATATGAATAACAAATGTGCAATATTTACATAATTTTGCACAAAAATAATGAGTCTAATGGCCTAAATTGTACAATAGTTGAACAAAACAATAATGATGCAATACTCTGTAATTGTTTTAATCTTTAACATAAACTATATAAAACTATATAAAAATGTTTATTGACATTAAAAAATTCATTATTGATTTCTTTACAGGTTTGTGTTTGGTCATGCTATAAAAGCATTTATAAAAGCAAAAATATAATTTATTTGCATTTGTAAAGATTCTATCATTGTTAATATAGAAAATAATGAAGAAACATGCCATTTTTCTTCATATGTATAACAGATGTGCAACATTTACAAAATTGTGCACAAAAATAATACAAATTCTCTCCTTTTTATTTATTTTTTTACACTAGACATGTACAAACTTTTAAAAGATAAATTTACCATAAAAATGTACAAATAATAGCCTTTATCTGAATTAGAAATAATAAATAAATAAATCCCCCAAATGCTGTAGTTATAATAGCGAATGGCTTCTTTTCTATTACTTTATTTTTAATTTTAAAGAAAAATAATATCAATTTAAAGTACAGAATGAAACCAGTTGCATTTTACTTAAACATAACTATAAATCGTAAATCAAATGTTTCAAGTGGACTCAATGTTTATATATTTTATTATTTTGATCCATACTGACTGGTAACACTCGACTGGAGGAATGTACCGCGTGACTCGATGCGACGTCAGTGCGGAAAACATGCAGAGTGGCTGTTCAAACGTCTTCGCTCTTCACGCATCCGGAAATTACGCTGACGGCACATCGAGGGAGGAGCATCGGGGGAATTTCTGTCAGATCTGCTGGCGTAGCTTTGCAAAATCTGCCAGACAGCTGATTATTACGGTCATTCAAGGATAAATTCACCGAAGTATACATACAATGGGCTCATTCGTGAGATATGAACCACAGCTTAATCTAGAAGTATCTCTCATACATGAAAATATGAAAAGGGAATGTAAATGTAAAATCTGGATTTTTTTTAGCTTCCATAGCCTTGTCCATAGGTAAGGCTAACAAATTATCTACAAATAGCTGTAAACATGTTTCATTTAAAATGTTCCTCACTTGTGCGGCCCGTTTTTCACAAGAGCAGACAAACTATAACCAGCCACAGAGGAAGTGAAACCAGATAAAATTCATTAATGTCACTAATTCAGGGTGATTCATACACACACGACATCTTCAGTGTTCTAGTTTACTCATGTAATGGCACAGCACGAAAGGACATTGTCCCAGCAGAAATGTCAGAGGCGGGTTAAGAGAAGTTCAGCTACAGACAAATAAGTGGGTGATGATCAGTCATTATCTCTACACCATTTCCTGAAGTCACGTTTGTTAGTTTCCCACACAGTATATACAGTAACCTGAGTGTTTACGCAAAGATACAACAGTCATATTCATAATTTATTTTCAATGAACCAGATGCACTACACTCTTGAAAATAACGGTTCCCATATGGCATCAATTCTAGAACATTTCCAGTTCACATGTATAGGCAAAGTTCATCAGATAGATTTTGAAGCAGTCCTACTACGCTTTTTACTTTTCCAGCGAATGCCCTTTTAGTTGCATCCCAGTACTGGGAAATACCTATACACAAATACACTACGGCCAATTTTAGCTTATTCAATTATGGTGCATGTCTTTGGACTGTGGGAAAAACCGGTCCACCCGGCGGAAACCCACAAAAACATGGGGAGAACATGCAAACTAAACACAGAAATGCCAACTGGCCCAGCTGGGATTCGAACCAGCAACCTTCTTGCTGTGAGGTCACTGTGTGGCCCACCTTTTCAATAATTTTCTTTGTAGTGAGTGAAAAGAGAGAAAGAACTATTTAAGTGTACAGTTCTTAAAGGAACCTTTTTTTTTATTTGAAGAACACTTAAAAAAAAAAAAATATATATATATATATATATATATACACACACATATACACATATATACATATATATATACACACACACATATATATATATATATATATATATATATATATATATACACACATATATACATATATATATATATATATACACACACACACACACACATATATACATATATATATACACACACATATACACATATATACATATATATATATACACACACATATATACATATACATATATATATATATATATATATATATATATATATATATATACACACACACATATACACATATATACATATATATATATATATTCAGAACACTTTTACAACAAAGAACCATTGGTGGAGTTGAAGGGCTTTTTGGAATGTTTTAGTTCTTTCAGGAACCATCAATGCCAATCAAGAACCGAGATACACTGTCTGATACTCATACAATTTCTTTCCCAAATGTTTATATTAACAGATACGACCAACTTTATGTAAATTTGTTTTAAAATTTGAGCCTCACACAAAGCTTTACAAACAAAACAAGGCATATACCAGGATTGTAAACTGGCAAGTGGTAAAGGCTTTGCCTGTATTAGGAAAGGGTGGAGGGAACAGCAGCTTTTTTGCATTTAATAAGACACAAACACACATCAGAAATGGTATTTGTAGTATATTATAATAAAGATACATGAAGTATTTGGGGCTAAAAATACACATTGTGGGGGAACCTGAGACTTGTATTACGCTTTGCACAAAGTGTCAAGCATTATTTAAAGTATAATCTAAATTGTAAAAATAAGCTACACATCTTCACTACAACACTGCAAAAATGTGCGTATTCTACTGCTCTTCAAGTGAAACTAATTCGCAGGACAGTGTTCAAAAAACAAAACTTTGGAACATAGCATGAGCTTGCATTCTGGCTTTCCTTAGATATGAATGAAAGTCTATGGGGGAAAAAAAGTGTACCATAATTGTAAAGTAGAAAGGCATCACTGGTAAAGACATTGGTTAAAAAAAAAAAAGAAGGAAGGAAGGGCAGCTCATTTGCATTTAAAGAGACACACAAAAAGTTTTACTTCCACACAGAAGTGGTATTTGTAGTATAGTATAATATAGATACATGAGCAGTTTTGAGATAATACACATTGTGGGGGAACCTGGGACTTGTATTATGCTTTGCACAATGTTTCAAGAATTAAATTACATTTAAAATGTAAAACAATATAAAATGTAAAACAATATAATTGAAAGCATAATCTAAATTGTAAAAATATGTTACTTATCTTTTCTACAACACTGAAAAAGTGTTTTTTTAAATTATTAAATTATAATTAAATGAATTTATTTTTAGGGGTTTTTCACCCTTATTATAATATAAAACAGTAGAGATTCAGAGGGGAATACATTAGGAGAAGAGAGAGGGAAATGATTGGCAAAGCACTTCAAGCTGGGATCGAACTCAGGTCGCTGTGAGCACTTCTGTGTTATATGTCGGTGCACAGCACCACTAGGCTATTAGCGCTGACTAAATGTGTGTGTTTTAATTCAGCTGAGGTCACACAATTTGAGGTCACATGAGTTCACAGGACAGAGTTCACCAAACAAACTTTGGAACATGGCGTGAGCTTGCGTTGTCTTCTGGTTTTCCATACATATGAATAAAAGTCCATGAAATGAACAAGCATAGTGTAATCCCGCCACTCCATTTAGATGGTCTGGGTAATTATACACACGTTTAAAGGAAAACACAAAACATTGTGTAAATTTAAAATAAACTTTGTGATTTTATTGGTTTTATACTTACTCATACACATCATACAATCCTAAATTTCAAAAAAAGAAAACAAAAAAAAGGTATCTGGTGGTGTCTCTGGGGGACTGGGCACGCTGGGAAATTAATCCATGAATGCTGGTTAATATACTGCCGAACGCGCCTGAGCTGAAACTCACATCACCCATCCGAATGTTCCGGTGAAGTACTGGGAGAAAGCTGAATGTCAACGACACAAAAAATAATAAATAAAATCAAGGCAATTCATCTGCAGTAACTATCAAGGAAGAAGTCACTTCTCCATTTTCCTCAATAACAAGCAACGATGAAGGTTAATCATTGCTAGCGTAGACGGGATAACGCACGGGCATGTTCCGATGCCAACGTTCTGATAAGACACTCGAGGCAACAATATAGCTGGCGTTCAACCCGCTGGAGCTTCATAGTCAAGCGGCTGACTACATTCACAGATTTCTCCAGCATTCCCATATTATGACACTATCATTCCCCAGTCTGTGTGCCTACCCTCGAAAGCCAGAAGGGCAGGATTATCCTCAAGCAAACGCTTCAGACAGAAAGAGTGTGATCCAAAGCCTCATTAAAAGGCTGTCAGGATGCCGGCTCAGCCAAGCATGGCGTGTACACATGCCAGTTCACTGAGCCACTTACACCTGCCTTTCACAAAAGCCCTCTTGAGCAGGCAGCCCCACCGAGGATAATGCTGCAAATCACAGACGGTGCTAATTAAAGCTCAGGTTATTTCCTTAATAAAGCAGCAAGGTCATTACCAGGACTTCAAATCAGATACATCCACCAAATTGCTTTCAACAAGCCTACTACATCAAGCGGTTGAGTACGAATCATGGGGGATAAAGAAACAACAGATGCTTATGAGGGAAGGACAACATTGAGGATTAATACAAAATGGTTGTTTCAGCCCTTTTACTAAAAACAAGTTAATAATAATAGTAATTAAAATACGCACAATCAGCACAAACACACAGGATTCCCTTGAAGGATGACAGAGAACACCTTTCTTCTTACATATGGGTAGTAAATCAACCGCATACGCACAAAACAGACATTTCATGTGTGTTTTTTTTCTTCTGAATCTCTCTCGTTCTTATTTAAACATTCTGATTAGAATGGCAGCCATGTATTATGTACATCAGATAACAAAAATTCCATTTGCTAGAATACCAGAGTCGCCCATGCAATGGGACGCTGTTTTGTCTTACATTCTTTTTGCTTAACGCAAATGTGGCTGTAGCAAACTTTGCAGTTGGCCGAATAACGGTGCGAGCATGCGACGTTTATCTGTCAGGGGAAGCGTCTGTGTGCATCTTCCACTAGAACATAAGCATAGCGGAAGAAATTGTAAATATACATGTCTTGGAACGGAAAGGCATCGCCTAATAAACAAATTACTAGCCGGTTCCATTAGCATCATTCATTGGTCTGCTGGTGGTTAACGAATACCTCGCACTCGCAGTCGAGAGCAAAGAACGAAATCGTTTATCGCTGGCGTGCATTATCAACAACGAGCCTCCTAGCACTGAGGATCTGCACGTTTTGTTGTGTTTGTGCGAACTGAAAAGCATTTTTGTGCTTTGATTTTAAAACTCCAATCCTCTCCATTCCATGAGGAGTTATAATTCATTAAAACGCATGTGTAAAGACAGAAAGATTAAGGGGTTTCCTTTTTTTTGAAGGTTTTTTTGGGGGACACATGCTTCCAATCCTCCAGTACCAACCAACCAAATGATAATACAAAATAAATAGAATGCAATCACACAATTCAAGCTACGTACAATATATTAATATAGATCTTCTGATGCCATACACTCATTAAAACAGAAAAGGAAAGGAAATAAACCTCAGTCACTCGCTTATGTCAAGGCTCTTGCTACACCCCACCCTCCCCCCTTCCAAAAAACCTTATCTGATAACTATTCATGCACCCAACATTAGCATGATAAGTCAATATATAAAAGAGAATTTTCTTTTAAATGCACAGGCTGGGATTTGACATGTCGGGATAATTCATCAGAATAAAGAAAAAAGAATAACACAGAGAAATAATTTTACATGGGTAAATGAGGGAGTAGTCATTAAAATCTATATTCTTCAGCAAGGTTTTTTTTTTTTGCAATATCAGAAAATTCCCCTCGACGTTCCCCTCCCACCCGCTTCAACTGGACTCCTGAACCCTCATCGCAGGGCTCCTATAAAAAAATAATGTTAATATCCTAACAAAAAAATCAATGCCAGGGTATAAACTAAAGAGCCCACCCTCCCCCCGGTGCACAGGGATGCCCATCTGACAACCAATCCCTCTTCTCCCTGAATCTCAAAAAAAAAAAAAAACACACACACACAATATCTCTCAGCATATCACACATTCACACCTGAACATCGTCCTTCTGGGAGAGACAGGGAGATGATAGTTTTAGGGAGTGGTCACGAAGGGGCTGTACCCAACGACCCCACCCACCTTATCCTACAATGAAGAAATGAATCCATTTTTAGAATGGTGTTATTCAGCGCCATGGTTCCAAAACTTGCAGGTCAAACAATTTGTTTTGCTCGTTAAGCCATCAGTCCTCATAACTTCTGAATCTTCTCGGCGACCACGATGGGGTTTTCCTTGCGGATGCGGGCGGCGGCAGCTCCTCGGTAGTCGTAGGGACAGTCATGTTTGTCAGAATAACGGTGGATAGCGCAAAACAGGTTACCGCAGCGGCAGTCAAAGCCTGGTTACACACAAAAAGTGCATTCAGTCTTTTCAAATGGTCAGTTATGCGAGCTTAATCTTTGATTTGAAACTGGTGGATACCAAAAGACCATGTGCAATATTTATTGAAAACATTAAAGACCAAAAATAAATGATCATCTTGGGGAAAAAATTACATGCGTTAAAAAAATAAATCAAAAAAGTTTAAGCTTGGTAAGATTTTTACTATTTTCAAAATATGTACAACCCAGAGCATTTTTTGATCGAAAAGAGAAATAATGTGAAATGTTACGCTGTAAAACCCAACTGTCAACTTCATCAAATGAAATGAGTGCAGTTAACTCAAAATGTACTGAAAGTTAATTCTACTCATTTGAAAAGAGTCAGACTCAGTGTTGAAGGTAATAAGTTAATTAAATACCTCTTTACTTCAACTTTAATGGAGTAATTTCACAGTACTTATATAGATTAGTTTTTTAACTGAGTTTTCTTCATTTATCGGGTTTTACTGTGCTCAAATTGCTTCATTTACTCAAATGGATTAAGTTCACAGTACTCATTAGGATTAGTTTTTGAACTTAAATAGTTTGAGTTACCTTAAATTTTTGGGTTTTACAGTGTATAAATTCTATTTTTTATATATTAGGGCTGTCGATCAATAAAATAAATTTGCAATCATGGTCTCTGATTAACCAAGAATAATGCAAATGTAAAATATAGAAGTAATTATGCAGCTTAAAAATAAAGAAATCCATGACTAGTTTAAGGAAACAGATCCCTTAGTTTTATTATCTTAATTGTTGTTATAAATGTATTACTTTTTAACTTGTTTTGAAAGTGCTTATGTCAGTTTCATCAATTACACCGAGGTATTTTTGATCACTTACTGATCTCCAGGGGCTGGTTGCACCAGCAGTGCGCAAGTTAAAACGTAGCCTTAAGCTGGTCGCACACCAGAAGCGCCGATCTGCAACGCGCAGCATCGCGCCATGCATTTTAGAATTCTAAACATAGGTTTCTATCACGGTACACACACCGGCGCCGCAAGTCGGCGGCTGTCGGCAGCGCCCACACACGACTCAGGATTTTATATTTCTGCTGCGCCAAAGAGGCGCATCCGGTGTGTGATGCCCTTAAGTGTACGTAGTGACTTAAAGTTACAACTTACCCACTAATATTTTGCGCACTAATAGATATTTTATCAGTGATGCATCACTGAACTTAGTTTAAACGTAACAATACTTTCCAACCAAATATTTACAGCAGCCTCCCCCATGTATAACGATAGAAAAGAGATGATGCCAGGATTAGTTTATGTTGAGCAGCTCTTAATTGTAATGAAGAATGATCTTCTACTCACAAGCCTTATTTTCCTCCCAAATCTCGAAGAGTTTAATTTTCTTTTAAAGAGTGTTTTGTGTTAATTGTATAAATCAATTAAAACGGGATTTTTTTCATGACGAAGTTCATCTCCCTGCTCTTTTTTCTGTCATGTGTAGGACATTAAAATGTTTTGATAACTTCAAGTGTATTTCGCGTGCATTCTTGATGCTGGTATGTGCATCGTCTGTTATTAGTGACTGACTGTAATTTAATGTGCAATAAAAATGTGATTTATAATTTTATTTTCATAGGACAGTTATAAATAGACGCATTAGTCCCAGAATTTTAAAGCAGTTTAACAATTTAAATGCTTTTTATTGGATATTACGTCATTCAATGCGACCTACAAACTACAATTTGCCTTAAGACCATGTGGTGCAACCGTAGTTACAAACTATCTAATAGTTACTAAGCCCCTAGTGTGGACTTTATGTTCCAGTTTAAAGAACTAGCGATCAGCTGGTGCAACCCTACCCAGTGGTCTTCAGCATGTGCAATGAAAGTTCCTTCTGCAAACGGACTCACTTTTTTATTTTGTTTTTCTAGCTTTTTTATGTTCAAATATTCTTGTAACAATAGTTCCCAATGATAGTACGGTTAGGGCTGTCAGAGCAAGTACATTTCTCTTGTGCTATATCTAGATGGTTCATTACCGTGGTATAATATGTATAAAGCTTGCACAAAGCAGTGGTGTTGAGTTACGTATCACATGTTTTAAATGACAGCGAGACATGTTGCAATCATTTAGCCTTTATTGTTAAATCCTGAACAACAATTGAACAGAAATTAAATAACATATCTGATTAGCCTACTAAATATTTTTATATATACATATATATATTTTTGTTACCAATAAGTAAATAAATTATATAGTAATAAGCATACTCTACAAATAAAAAACGCACATATCCCAACGTACAGTAAAATAATGCATATTCATTAAATCTATTACACTGGCAGCTTAGTCGTTAAGCTGAGAATGTTTTGTTTTAATAAAATACTAAATACAATTTAGAACTAAAATAAGATTTGTTTCAATATATATTTAAAAAATGCAATTAATTGTATTTTGGTTTTGGTTTTACTTTAATTGGAATTGACTTGGTCTACACAACATATAGGACACTTAAAATAGATAGGCTAAACTGTGCTTTTACTACAGCTCTACTATAGTCTTATTGGCTTCTCGACATTCATACCCGTTACTTTAAGTAAGGCTGTTTTGAAAGATTTCGCAAATGCTTTAGTTGTTTTTTGAGTTGACTTCACGCTTGTATGGCAGCTGCGCTTCAATAACTGGATGACCACGAAAATAAACCTTTGATTCGATGTACGGCTGCTTGTCACAGGGACCAATCAGCAGGAATTTAGCTTAATGGCTAAAATTCAAAGCTGAAATATTGCCAAACGTCAAATCTTATCAAACAATCATTTGTGTTAAATAATAACGTCTTTACCTTTTCAGATTAATAGAATATGCGGTAACATTGACAGCCCTAATATATATCTTTTTTAAAACATACTACTATGCACTATATTGTAATTCAATACAAAAATACTTCAGTAAACTAAACTGTGCTTGAGAAACATTTCTTATTATTATCAGTATTTAAAACAGTTAATGTTTTTGTGGAAACTGTGATCTATTATTCAGAATCCTTTCATGAATATGAAGATGAAATAGCAGCATTGCTAATAATACCTTGTTTTGAATAAATGAATATATCCCTGTAAATGAAAGTATTTATTTTCAAAAAAAATTGTAGAGCCCTTCATACAGTGCAATGATGTACAAAATATACGTTTTTACATTGTCTTAATGGTTAAAAATATGGTTAAATATGCATGTACATAAGGAATAGGAATAAGACTGCAGAGAATATTTGTTGACTCTCTCAACAAAACATTAAAATTAACTTCTTTTGCAGTAAATCTAGATTTTTTTACGTCTTGAAGTCTGTTCATAGATAAGATAAAAGCCCAGCCCTTATTGAAGAACACAAAGCTCTTCCCTTGGCTCTTACCCGTGAGGCCAACTTTTTTCCTACAAGTGAAGCATCGATTCTTCTTTTTGTTCTTGTCAGGAGTCTGATCTCCGTCTGAGGAAGCTTGTGCAGCTTCCCCTACTGGCCCTGTGATAAAAAACACAGTCAGTCTCTAATGGATCATTTCTAAAACACAAGAAACATCCCCGCTACATGTTGCTCTGGCACTCAAATCAATAATGTAACAAATCATCAGTATTTATAACTCCTTATAAAGACAACTGATAGAAGGACTTTAGCACAAGGCTTGCTTTTATTTATTATCCTCATTAGTTTAGTTTAATGTTTCATAATGATGCATATATTAACAAAAAAGTAAACAAAACAACAGCACTAGAGGATGGAAAAAACATCAATATAATTTTTTTTTATATTTTAACAATCTGCCAATACTTTTTTTGCTTTCTTGAGTACACCAGGAACACATCATGCAAAATTAAATGCTTCAAACAATGTAGTAAAATATAATAGTTAATAATAACCTCATTATTCCCTTATAATAAACAAAGATTTTACATGTATTTTTTGCAATTGTCAACTTTTTCAAGCTATTTCAGAATGAAAATAGTTTCATATCATGCAATGCTTTAACGTGCAAGATTTGTAATATAAAGTGAGGTTCAAAGTCTAAGTTTAAGCATAAAATAGCCCCTACGGTATCACATTATAATATGTCCTGCTTATTTTTGTCTAAAAATTACTACTATACAATTTTTGGTATGATTTTAGGCATGGGCCAGTATAAGTTTCTGACAGTATAATAACCTTGAATAAAAACATCATGGATTCACAGTTTTGTGATAACTGCTCTAAAATAAGTTCTTTTTAAATGTCCGAGTTGTCTAATGTCCAACAACCCTTTTAACAAAATATATATTTAATTTTACTAAACATTTGTAATATTTTGGAACAGTAAAGATGTCAGGCTAAATTCAATTAAATCATTGACTTCTGCTCTCTTTCATTAGTTTCAAAAGAACTCTTTACAAAACTTTTCATATATCATAGGAATGGCATAACAGAAAATTTTAGCGGTTTAAAAACCTTGACTTTTCCAAACCGTTAGGGTTAGGCATCCCTGGGTTACACTATTTGTCAGTAAGACATTTTAATTTTGTATAATACATTAAGTGTGATAACTTATATTTTTAGATATATTAATGTACCTATATCTTCAGATACTTCTATATAAAAATACAGATGAGAATAAGTACATTTCCCAAATATTTTGACTAATTTCTAAGATATCTGAAACATTAAAGCAGACACTTTTCTTGAATTTAATATGCCTTCTATGTATATAAAACCACTTTTGTGATATTAAATTAATTCGGACACCAAACAGACCCCTACACAATAACAACCACAACAAAATAAAATACAGCATTTTATATAAATGTATATAATATCCAACAATAATTATGGATTACATTCAAAACAATAAAGAGCAAGAAATATTGTGTTCAGTATGCATGCATTAGACAGACCTGTGCTTTTAGACGAACCCTCCTCCTCTTCCTCCTCCACTTCTGCTCTGTCTGAGTCAGTGGTTGCCGTGTCCTGGGAGATGCTCATGGCAGTCATCTGCTGAGTTACTGGGCTCGGTGAACTACTTCATGAACACAAGGACCTACTTGTTAGAATACCTTACTATAAAATTACACACATCTGGTGATCATTAAGAGATTATGACTGGCCTACAGACTGTTTTCGCTTATAGTCTGTACCAATTTGACCAAGAATGGCTTGGTTTATTCATTCTCACCTAGACGTGCGTTCTTCAGTCGGGGTACCAGCTTCTGTAGTGGGTAGAGGGGTGGATTCCACTGTTACTGGAGAAGCACCTGGTGAACCTACAGGAGATGTGGCTGCTGGAAAGACACAGGGAATTAATTCCTCTTAACTTCAAAGCACATTTGTGTCATAAAACCGATGCACAGATCTTGATATTTTTTTACAAGCACATTTTTTTCAATAACAAAAAAAAATTAAATATAAGGTAAAAACATAATATGGTGACTAGCTTTAATTATGCATAAAAAAACAGTAGACAGACTGAATAAAAATGATAAATTACTTTGCTAGTTGCTGCTATGAACACAGCAGATGTACTTATATTATTTATATATATATATATATATATATATATATATATATATATATATATATATATATATATATATATATATATATATATATATATATATATATATATATATAAATAAAATTATTTTATAGGGGGTTTTTATCTTTAATTGAGATAGGACAGTGGAGGACACGAACAGGAAAGTATTGGGAGCAGAAAGAGAGGAAGGGTCGACAAAGAATCGAACTCTGGTTGCCGTAAGTGTCGGCGCACTTATCCACTAGGCTGTTAGTTATCCACTAAGCCCACTAGACCACTACCCCTTATGCTAGGTTCACAACAAATGCAGAACACGGTGTCATTCTCAATCTAATTTACTCACGGGATGTTTTTTCACCCAAATCAATGATATTTAGGTCAACCACCAAAGACTTCGAGGACAACACATACGCTTAATACATTTCATTGAACATGTACACATACACAACACAACATTTTCCTCACAACTTCAATTACTTTTCGCACATTCTGCATCATTTGTGCCGCCTGGTGGAAATTCTTCAATATTCGTGATGTGAGTTTGCATTGACTTGGTATGTAATCTACTCTCCGAATTATTTCATTCCACTTCTGATATGAACCCTGCATTACAGATTCTTCAATAAAACCTCCCATTCCCAATTCAGTATTTTGGATTTCTTTCCAGTATTACTAAAATCAGGAAAAGTGAGCTTCTACTTTTGAGTTGTTGTTTTTTTTCAAAGTCAAACATGATTCACAAATTGCGAAAACAGAAGATAACAAAATAACGAAACTAAATTTCGTTATTCACATTTTTGGGTAAACCATCCCTTTAAATTAAGCTCTTGTTTACTAAATTGAAAAAAGAGGGTTACTCTACTTCTTGACAGTGGTTTGCAAAAATGAAATTTGACATGTGTGTTTTAAACTTTTACAACATTAAAAAAATTCTGACTTTTTAAAACAAAAAAATAAAAACAATTGCCTAATTTTGAGTACAGGGTTTCTGCAGGTTTCATCAGGCCAAATTTAGGACTTAAAAACCTGTTTTAAGACCATTATAAGTGAAATTTCAGACTTAAACAGGGCTAAATGCTAAAGATTTTTTTTCTAAATAAATGTGTCAAAACAAGCATTTTGTCAACATAGATTTGTTTTTTAAAAAAGAAGAAATATATATAAAAATAAATAAATGTACACAGGAAAATTAAAAACCATTTAAAATTATTTAAGACCTCCAAGACATTCTGTCAGTGAATTTATACATTTTAAGACTTTAAGACCCCGCGGACACCCTGGAGCTATAATGAAAAATGGACAACACAAAATTCATATGTATTTGTCTACTGTTTTAAAAAAACTAAATCATAGAAGTATGAAATGAAAGAACTTTAACAAATGTAACACATTGACATTTATGCAGAATATATTGTGTTTTTTCTGTATGCCCAGGCCAGTATGTCTGTTGGTACATCTGTGCTGCATCTGTGGCCTCTGTTAATGTTCTATTAACACACTTTGTACTATAAAATCACTGCTGTGTGGTTTGTATGCAAGCCCAGAACAGAGATTACACAAATTAAAACAAAAAAAAATTGGGACAGTTGCCAATCTCACACTTTTCACAAAAACTGAACTTCTGATTTCTGCATCTCTAGTTCTTAATGCAAATGGTGCATTCGACAAGTAGGACACTGGGAGATTTACCTTTTTCACCTGGGGGACTGTTTCGTCCCCCACCTTGTTGTCTCTGCAGATGTTCCTTATAACAGACAGAGCACATTCCATTGGTGCGAGGGTTACCATAGAAACCGCATCCCATAGTGCAAAGCATTGGCACCTGCGTCTGATTTGTCTCCTGAGCCATGCTGTTTGAGAAAGGGGGGGTAAGGGGGACGGGAGAAGACGATCCTGTAGATGGAGTACAACAATTAGTATTTCATTAGCATTATTTAATCGCTAAGTAGTAAATAATAGCATCATTTACCACTAACCTGTTATATTAAAAGAAACAGTATTTTAGTCACTTTTATTTATTTATTTATTTATTTATTGAAATTGTGTCACCATGATGCAAGTCCCCCTTTTTTTTTTAGAATAAAATGAAACACTAAAATAAACTTTACACAGATATTTGACTTACAAGTTTATACAGTTGGCTAGGGCTGGGCAACACGGCAAAAATGTAATCTCGATAATTATTTTCCAATAATGATACACATTTCGAAATAAATTGTTAATGCTTCCAGATTTAAAAGAGTATCCCAACAATGACTGAAACCACAAAAATTAGAGGGTTCATTAAATAGCATTACATTTTTGGTCGATAGATTTTCAGGGCTGAGTTCAGTAAATCTCCAATATTAACACACTTTTAGATTTCCATTGTTGCACATTTCTGCTGTGTGATTGGCTCTTGGAACATTATACAGTAAAAAATCCAGAGTTTATCATTGTTTTTGCCATAAACCTTGTTGTGATTCGATATAATATCATTTATCGGCCCTGCCCTACAGTTGGCCAATCAAACTTTAAAAGAGCTTAGGAATGCACCAAATTTGTTGGCTAAGTGTGATATTTAATTAGCACTTTCCCATTTAAACTCTTTTAATATACATTTTTTAAATTACAAAAGGGTTAACGCAATATTTACACTTCATAATGGGGTATGACAACTCAATATAGAATAAAATAATAAACGCAATTTTTTTTACCTAAAATAAAGATTACAATTTTCTCACGATTCTGTAGATGTAAAATAAAGGTTAATATGAGTGGGCTATTATTATTGTTATTCTCAAACATGTGGTAAAACAGCAATAGGCTTTGTGTAGGTCCACTGTTGGTTAAAATGCTAAATTTATATAGACTTGGAACTTTAGATTTGTCCTGGTCATTAACGCTGATGATAATTCTGATGTTAAATTATTGTGTTTGAGACATACTGTATGCTTACAATCGGTCATTAACAACATTATTATACCATTTTTTTTTCTACTGGTAACATCAAACATTTGTCATTATCAGATTCCCTCTTGCATTATATTCAACATTATATAGGCTAGAGTAGTTATACTGACACTGTTAAACATTTATTTTCATACACAACACTTTGTGTTTGCTATGAATGAAAAAAAAGATCAAATGCTTGTCGTAATCATTACACTAAAATGCGATATGATCATTTAAATGATGAAGCTCAAAGTTCAAGCCGCAACATATTTTAACTATCATGTTAATGTCCTCGTTATAGCAGGGCTCCAAATTGCAACCATTTTGGTCGCATAAGCGCCCAAAAATTAATCTATGAGACCTCATAATATATTAGGGAGCATTAGTGCGACCTGTTTTGATTTTTTCTAGAAACGTGCTGAATTGCTCTTCCCTGCCGCTATATTGGTTCATATTAGCTGTCAATCACTCAAGGTATTCCGCTGTCAGATGACAGGGAAGGAGCTTTTATGACCACAGGAAATGCAAACGGCTGAAGAGTGAAAACTTAAAGCATGCATGTTTGCAAACCCCATCTAAAGTCGAGGCGCAGATGAGAGCGATCATGACACGTGGTGAATATTTATCTGCCAGCTGAGATCAATCAAGTATGCGCTTTTCGGAGAAAGTGCCCGAATCTCGATGCGTTGCATTCACTGCGTGTTCAGCGCAAATGTCCGCTAAAAGTCAAATCTAATACTGTATATCATTGCCAAAGATGCTCGCCTTTACTAAGTTTACACTGAAACTGTGTCTCATAACAAAGAGCGGTATTGCGCCGGTGGTCATCGCAAGAATCCTGCTCTGCATGCTCATAAATTGGGTCGGCTGACTCACCTGCTTCCCACAAACACAGAAAAATGAAAATCAGCTCAGACTGAACAGTTAAATTGACACAAACTGAAACCAAAACTTTTAAAGAGTGATAGAAGTGAGACTTTACTTACTTTCTTTTGTCTATTCTTTCTTGAGGTGTATATTATTATTTTTATTTATTTACTGATGACCGTTTTGCAGCTTTCAGCATTAAATTGAATTATTTATTAAAATCTTTTGTTTGTTTTGTAGCAGTAATATCATTTATTAAATTGACAAGCATATAAAAACAGCAGTACAAAATATATATCTCTTACTGCAAGGCTTCATTTTTGTTTGATGCAAACTATACAATTATTTTTTATAAAGTAACAGACTTTTTATAGCAGATAACTTACATTCAAGCACACTCAAGGCAGCATCATAATAAGAAATGTAATTCATTGTTACTATTATTGTCATTTTCATCGTCATTAATATTCTATAATTATTAGACATTCATTTTGGAATTATTGCACACAAATATCAATGTCATCTCAGCATTAGTTAGATAGTTGTTTCTGGTTTTTATTAGTCCTAATTGATGTTGTTTTAAAATACAATAAATCCCTTAAAATACCATTTGCAGTGGTGCTCATTCATTTTTGGTGGGTGCTCCTAAATTTTTTCTGCTGCTCCTAAATTTCTTTTGGTGCTCCTAAATATTTAAAGTTGGGAGCACCGGTGCTACCAAGTAAAAAAGTTAATTTTGAGCCCTGTTATAGGCATGGGCCGGTAAAAGATTCTGATGGTAACATAACCTTGGATTACTCGATTTTTTTTTTTTTTTTTCAAACGTGTGCTGAGTTGTGGGCTGACTAGTAACTTTTGATGTGGATGGTTATTTGCTGCTGGACATACTGTTACCCTAAAAAAAACTACATAAAATTCGTAAATAAATCTGTAAAAAAAAAAAAAACACTTGCATGTACCATAACAGTACGATTTTAGTTGTTTTAACCACGGTAAATCTTGAAACCGGTTATTGTTCAATGCTTACCTTGTTGTTTAGTAAATATCTGAAAATAAATAATTACAGCATTGAATAAAAATGTTAACAACAAAGTGTTCCTTAAGTGTAATTTAAATTTAATTTAAATTCAGTCTTACTTTTGTGCCTATATTCATTCATGCATTCATTCACTTTCATTTCAGCTTGGTCTCTTTATTAATATCGCCACAGCGGAATGAAACACCAATTTATCCAACATATGTTTTAGGCAGAGGATCCCTTTCCAGCTGCAACCCATTACTGGGAAATTGGGCCATTTTATTAATCTAAATAAAAGTTTAATTAAATTTGGTGTATTAATAGATTGGTTAACTAATTAAAACCTTAATATTTGTATTTAAAAACCTTTAGATTTCACTTCTGTGTTTAGGTAAATATCAAAAAAACTTTAAAAAATTTAAATTAAATTTAAATTTAAAAGTCTTGCATATGTACACTGTTTAATATTGCAAACATATCTTGAATTTTTGGTTTCGTTTAAGAATTTTTATTTTGTTGCATCCCTAAAAACTAGTGTGGAATATTACCAACTTGCTAAAGCTAAATAATAGCTTTATGCACAAGAGTGATATGTTTGACTTTTATGGTGTCTTTTTGGGCCTTGACAAAGAGGTCAAAGGCCTCCCTGTTGCAGGATAATTGGACAAAAAAGAAATGATAAATGTTGATTACCCACAAGCATTTCAGTGTACAATTAGACTTAGTCATTTGCAATTGTTTCTAAATTATTGTTATCACTAAAGTATGTGTTTGCAAACTGCGAGAAATTAATTTTTAAGTATTGCATTAGGCATTGTTCAAAAAAATTACAAACACATCTTAAATTTTTGGTTTCGTTCAAGAATTTTCATTTGGTGCATCCCGGAAATCTTATACAACTTGCATGGAATATTGCAATTTTTCTGAAGCCAAATAATAGTTTTGAGCTTTCATGGTCATTATGGATTGGAGGATTTGTGAGAAAAAAAATAGTATTCTTGTATTGCATAGGGAGAAACAATACCATAAAATTTTGAATGGGATAAGGGTGAGCAAATAATATTATTATCTTCAATCTATTGTTCTATTTTTATTGTTAAAAATTCACATTTTATTTTAGTGTCCTTGTTACTGGGACAAATAAGTAATGATGAATGAATAAACCACAAGCATGTCGGTCTACAATTAAACTTAGTTATTTGCAATGGTTTCTAATTTACTGTTATCACTTAAGTAAGTAAATGCAAACTGCAACAAGCAAACTGTACAATACACTGTAACAAACCAATTCCGTACACACACATTTAGTGTTAAACTGCATAAAGGCAATATGATGAAACAAATTACACTAAATGTATCAACTTTCATATCCTCCCTGCTCTAGTTAGTATGTACCCATTTCAAATGTATCAAACAAAAGATGCACCAGATAGGAGAAAAACATGAACAATGTTTAACAATGAAAACAGTCGATTGTTGGACTCCAGTTATAGTAAAAAAACTACTTTAAACTCGACTTATTTGTTGTCGACCCTGCTAGAGGCTGTCAACATGCTGCATAAAACAAAAGTTTCTTTGTTCGCTTTTTGTTTCTCAAACAAACAAACGAATGGTCCAGGTTACAGTAACCTAAACAGCCTGCTGATCAAATAACGATTAACAGTCTGGCAACAGTTGCGCTTCAATTCGAATAAAGAAGCAAGTAAGTGTTAAATGTGAAAATATAGAAGTTGACCGCAACAATGCAAACGACAGAATACCATACAAATTATTCTGGTTATTCTGGAGCAAGTCCGTGGAAAATCAGCTGAGAGCGGCTCCGCAATTAGAAAACATTTGTCTTTTACCCGACTATCGCGACAAACAATGATGTCAACGCCAAAGCGACACCCGAGGCGAATATTTCCCTTCAAAAGTAGCTAATATTGTGTGTGGATGACCGTGTTAAAACCGCTGACTAGATGAAAGTCGTTCTTGTTTGTGATATTCATTTAGCCAGGCTAACGCGCTAGCTGTGCTAACGACTAGCAGACGTGATGGCACGCACGCAAAACGGACAGCTGGGACCTCGAGAGCGTCCCACGAACACTTGCGGTACATTAAAACCCCAACAATCTCGAATATTTACCCGTATTTCCGTGTGATTGAAGAGAAATCGACGACCTTGATCCACAGAAATCTGACAGAGTAGGTTCCTGCTATGCGCGTGCGGCCTGCTTCTCTCAACGTCATCCGAAACAACGGGCGTGACGTCACCGTAGCGCAACAATTCATTTTCATCGAAACCACATCATCATCATCACACTTCCCATCAATCCACTCGAGTCTACGCCAAACAATGCTGCCAAGGATGTCTATAACATGCTGTTGATTAGCTTCAAAATGTGTGTATTAAACAACATTAGCTTAAATGACACAGCTTTCTTGTTTTCAGAGTTGTTTGGGTGTAAAAGTTGCAGATAGAAAGGCAAAATCGTCACGTGTAATTATGATTTTGTATGTATCATTTTCACTTTCTGTGCAAAGGCTGCTAGCCTACTTCAACTCCTTTCTTGATATAATTGCGTTAATATGCTGATTTTAGATACAGCATTTAAACATTTCTGTTTATTTTTCACATTATTAAAAGAAATCTTGTTTGGTATTCAAATTAAATACATTCTAATTTGCCTGAATTATCAAGTAAGTAAAGGTTTATTTATATAGCACTGTTCCCAAACATTGAGTCACAAAGTGCTTTACAATAAGAGAAAACAGATAAAAGAACACTAATCAATTAAAGAAAACATGTTCAAACATATTAAAACAAGTTAAAAATCCAAGTAACACTAATACTTTTAATTTAAAGCTTGACCAAAAATGTGTCTTTAAACGCTTTTTAAAAAGTTCAGCTGATCCCAGATTTCTCAGTGCTAAAGGGAGAGAGTTCCAGAGCATTGGGGCCACCACACAGAAGGCACGGTCACCTTTAGTCTTGAGTTCTGGGAATTGCTAAAAGGTCTTTGCCAGAAGACCTCAGAGATCGGCTACATGAGTGACTACGTAAAAGATCTTGAATATATAGGGGTGCTTGACCATGCAGAGCTCTATATGTAATGACCAGAATCCTAAAATTTACTCTAAAACCAATAGGAAGCCACTGAAGTGCTTTAAGCACAGGAGTAATGTGCGACCTGCTACTGGTATTGGTTAAAAGCCTCGCCGCTGCATTCTGCTCAACGTTCAATCAATCCATGGAAGATTTGTTCAGACAAGTGAACAACATTACAATAATCCAAACCGTGAAGAGATTAAGGCATGCAAGCATCTCCACTTTTCCTTTATAACAATATCTCAGATTTTTGCGATGTTCCTCGGAAGTAAAAAGCATCTACAAACAACAGACTTAACATGGCTATTTAAACACAGAGCTCTATCAAAGATGACAACCAGATTTCTAATGTCACTGCAATTTGAAGATGACAAACCCCAAAAACTTGCTTGAGCATTGGGGTGATGCTATCTGGAGTAAAAATCAACATTGCAGAAAATTGTCTGCCATCCAATAGTTAATGGAGACTAAACAATCCTGCAAGAGAAACAGTTTGTCTAGTCTGTCAGGGCTAAAAGAAAATATAATTGTACATCATCTGCATAGCAATGATAAGATATAACTTTAAAACTACCAATAATCTTGCTGAGAGGGAGCGTATTTAAATTAAAAAGAAGAGGGCCTAGGACAGAACCCTGAGGTATCATATTTACAACTTAATATTTATATAATTAATTAATATTTATTAAAATATAATAACCTAAAACTAAAGAGATGCTTATTGATTTTCGGTGTAACTTTATTATTAATGCTATACGCTACTTCTACTATAAATGGTACAGTTGTTGAGATAGTGAATGCTCATAAATACACAGGGGACATTTAAAAAAAAAAGGGGGGGGGGCAGCTAAATAGGATCAAAAAGTTTACGTTCTTATTATTATTAATCACCTTTTTCCAAATGGTTTGTTTCTAAAAGTAAGGGGAACATATCCCACCTCATCCCCACGATTGATACGCCCCTGCCTAGGCACTATCCTGGATGATCAACTAAACTTTGAGGCCAGCACAAACTTTATCTGTAAAAAGGTGAATCAACAATTGTTTTACTTAAGGAGGTTGAAAGGATTTAATATGGAGAGGTCTCTTCTAAGGACATTTTATTCTTCTTTTATTGAGTCTCTTAACTTTTGCAGTAAAATCCTGGAACGGTCATTTAAGGGTGACAAGTAAAAACAGACTTTCAAAAATTGTTCATCTATCTCAAAAGATTTTGGGCACAAATCTTAACAGCATTGGACAGGTGTATGAGGTGAGAGTCATAAAGAGGGTAATATCAATTTTAGCAGATGAGAACCGTACACTTTATTCAAAGATTTGCCTCCTACCATCAGGTAGAAGTAATACTTATTTCAGACGAGCAAGGTCCAACAGATATTTGCATTCATTTGTTCCAGTTGTTTATTTGTTCCAAGCTTTAGGTTGTGTGTTTATTTTTACTTGATAGTGATTCATTTTTCTTTTTTAGTTGTTTTTTCCATTTAGTTTTTATTGCAGTTTTCAAATCCACAGACAGATAGGCATTTCCACAATGTATTTACAAAACAATCAAACATCGCATTCCCAAAATTGTAGAAATAAATGAAATTATAAAATACCAAAAAATTCCATTAATAAATACGGAAGTTACATTAATGATTTAAGCACATTATAAGAAACAAGAAAAATCAATACACTCATAATTGTTGTGTATATCATCAAAAAGAAACAGATTTGTTGCTTTTCAGTTACATTTCAATTGTGTACTTTTTTACAACCATATTGTGGCACCGTCTACCCTTTTCTTTCTTTATTTTTATAATCTATGTACATATGGAACTATGAGGATGGTACATTTAGGATCTTAAATGTAAAATATTAATTTATTTGGGTTTTTTTTTAAATAGGTATTGTTCTTCTCGCTATCTTACTGTTATGTTTTCTCTCACTACAAAAAATAATACACAAAATAAACAAAATAAAATTCAAATTTTTCTGACTGGTCAATCATTCTTTAATTAATCTGGTCTAATGGAAGAATATATTCTACCCATTTTCTCCATTTCTCATTAAACTCCTCAGTCTGTAAACGACGGTTTATTGTTAGCCTCTCTATCTTAAAGATTTCATAAATTATGTCAAACCAGTCAACAATTTTAGGTTTCTCGAGGTGTAACCATTTTTTGGTTATGGCTTTTTTACAGGCTATCAGCAAAATTTTCAGCAGTTTTTGTCAGATTTTTCTTCTAACATAGGATTTTTTAGGCCTAGAGATAGAGAGTTGAGAAAGAAAAATCGATGGGGATATGGAATATATTCTCTAAACATTTTAGAATTTCCTGCCAAAATGCCTGGATTTTTAAAAATTTCCAGAAAATATGTGAATGATTTGCTTCATTTGAGCCACATAGTCTCCAGCAGACTGCCTTTTTGTTTAAGTATCTCTTCTGCTCAGGGGTGACGAAAAAACTAATGATGTTTTTCCAACCAAATTCCCTCCAGACTAAGAAGGATGTTGATTTCCACTGTTTTAAAAATTTTGATTATGATTAATTATATTCTTTACTGTCACTTCTATGTTGTTCAAGTGTGACCTGTTGCTGTTAACAGCCGGCTATTGCTGTAAACCTAATTGCCCTTCGGGGACAATAAAGACATTCCAATTCCAAATGATCAAAACACTGGATGAAGCAGGTTAACTTTATTTAGTTGACTTGTGAATCCCATCATAAACTAGAAAATACAATCAGCAGAGAGGGGTTGGGGGAATACTTTTAGGATTTTTAGAAATAAAATGTTAATTAATTTTGTGAATGATTTATAAATAAACTACTCAAAAAAAAAATTACAATACATAGATAATAATTAAAAGGATACCTCACCCAAAAGTGAAAAGTTACTCACTCTCAAGTGATTCCAAACCTTTATGAGTTCGTTCTTCTGTTGAACACTAAGGGAGATGTTTTGAAGAAAGCTAAAAACCTGTAATCATGACTTCTATAGTAGAAAAAACCTTTGACATAGAAGTCATGTTACACAGGTTTCCAGCTTTCTTCAAAATATCTTCTTTTTTGTTCAACAGAAGAACGAAAGTTAAACAGATTTGGAAGTATTGTGTTTTGGTTGAACTATTCGGTGGCGCAGAAGGTAGTGCTGTCACCTCACAGCAACAAGGTTTGAGCCTTGATATGAAATTTTGAAAACATTCATATTCTTTTTGGCTTAGACCCTTTATTAAACCGCCAACTTATCCAGCATATGTTTTACGCAGCGGATGTCCTTCCAGCTGCAACCCAACACTGGGAAACATCCATACACACTCATTCACACATATACACTACAGACAATTTAGCTTACCCAATTCACCTGTACTGCATGTATGTGGGGGAAACCGGAGCACCTGGAGGAAACCGGCGTGAACATGCAAACTCCACACAGAAATGCCAATTGACCCATCCAAGGCTTGAACCAGTGAATTTCTTGCTATGAGGCCAACATGCTACCCACTGCGCTACTGTGACGCCCCATATTGAAAACATATTACCTCAAATATACTAAAATGGTTAATTATAAAATATAACTTCTTCATAGAATCCTGTGTCCAAAAACAAGATACAAAACAAATGCATTCTCGGACAAAAAGTGTTTATTTAAACCATCGATTTATTTTATATGTCAGATAACAACAGACTTCTTTTAAAATATGAATATTAAGAATTACAAAACAACAACTATAAAGTATGGCTTGCTTTTTTTTAGAAAGTACATTCAGCATTAAATATTTATATTCTGTTGTGTTATAACACTTGCTTTCAAATACTGACAATTTTAATAGGAAATGATACAAATGTGCAATTTTCACTTCATTATACTGTCATACCAATTTTGGTAAAACCAATTTACCTGTCTAGTAGTGACTCCAGTAAACAACAAATTTGAAACAGAAGTAGTTAAACAATAATTTGCACCATATATTAACCTATTATATCATAACATCAGATTTATTTAGGTTGTGTGGCAATTTCATTCACCTTTCTCTGTTATCTGAGGCGCAAAAGGCCCAACCAGCCAATTCAGAGGAGTGTTATTGAGT